TTCAATATAAAGTACTTTTCCTTTCCACAGCCTATAAAAGAAGACTAATACGCAAACTGAAAGCCAAATCCTTCAGTCTTCTCTCTGCTGAGTCTTAATGCAGAGAATAATACTTGGCAAGCAGTAATCACATCGTAAGTGTTGCCTAAGGCCTGATTCGTACAGGATGAAAAGTCAGCGAGTGATAAGTTTCCAAATGACCTCTGTCAGCTCCTAAAAAGAAAAAGCAAAGACAACAGCCGGAAAGGCCAGCTCAAGCACAACTAAATGGGGATTCAAGAGAAAGAGCAGAAAAGTGTCCTTGCATCCCCATCTAGTGGCTTTTGGTAAAATAAATCTGTAGTCTCTTTCATTTGCGCATTTTCTCTTCTATGTGTTAATGCAATCTGCTAAACGATAGACAAGTGCATTGCTAAACTTGCATCAGAAATGCTGGGCTGAGTCAAAGCTCCTCGATCTGTATTTCTCTGGATTCAATTTTTTATAAATATTTCTCAATAAGTTTTCAGGCTTTCAAGATTTTTGTTCCTCTCTGCTGACTCTGTGGCCAAACCCACTGTAGCAGCAGAAAGCTGCTGGGCTCGAAAGGGACCAATAGGCATGTTTGCTGCCTGGCACGCATACCAGGGTTTGAGAGATGGCAGAACTTACCGTGAATGTAAGAGAAACATTAACCCAACTTTCAAAGAAATGTTACTTTAGCCAAGGACATTCTTTTTAAGAGCAGGACAAACCAGAAAGATTCACACATCAGCCAAAGCTTCTGTGGAAGGTGAGCATCACCAATTGAGCTCATACCCACTCTTCCACTGTTTTTTGTCTATTTACCCAGAAAAGAATAACTCATCATCTTATTTCATTGATGGCATAAAAAGAAATATTCCAGGTTTGTAACAGATTTTTGCCTGGCAGACTGCTTTTCCTGGAGTACCTTGGCTGCTTGGAGACTTCAGGCTTCTTCCCTTCAGCAGTGGTGCTGTGTCAGGCATGCTGTGATGGCTGGCTTCAGCCTTGCTTTAAGAGGAAGTAAGTAAACAGAATTTCAGTTCTGATCTTTTGTTTCAGGTGCAATTGAAATGCAATCAGTAATATTGATAATTCAGTGGTACTTTTGTGTTAGCTGCTCTCTGGAGCTCTTTATGGCCCTTATGGGAGCTCAGCATCCATGGGTCCCTGGGTCTGCCATCAGTTTGCATCACCTTGCAACGTGCCGTGAATAATCCAAACTGCCCAGCTGTAACTCCTGCACCTGCAGACTTACTTGCTCCCAGTTACAGGCTAGTTGGTGAGCCCCACAGGGGCAGAGGAGTATCGAGTTAGCACACCAGCACAGCTGAGAAACCTTAACATAAAGCAAAGCTCCTGTGGCGCCAAGCTCCCCTGGATGTACCCCTCCCTCCTCAACCGCCCTGTAAGGGTCCCTTATCTCAACAAAACTCCTGTCCCCCTTAGTCTGTCCTCTTGAACCAGAAAAGCTTCCTCAGGACCAGTCTCTAGGGCCTTACTATTTGCACTGCTGACTGAGCTGACTGATTTGGCTGGCAATTCTCCATGTTTCTATAAAGCAGGGTGTGCAGATGCCCTGGTTTTGGAGCACTGTACCTGTAGGATGTGTTTAATCCTGCCAGTTCTGTGTTCCCAGCACGTGTGGTCAGCAGCAGCACAGACATGGAGGTTTGAATTCTGGGTGTACTTTCCTGGCTGAAGACCCACGAGCTCTCGAGGGGTAAAAGGCACACTCTTGTGCACCGGGCTTTGCTCTCAGAGGTTTGTTTGGGTTTTTTTTTAACACTGTATGGTCTGTAGAGCAAAAGCTGGTCTTCACCTCGAATCAAAGAGCCTTTTCTGAAGGTGGTCACGTTGGATTCTCCCTCTGCCCTTGCCTTAGCTCTGTAATTACAGCTACATAAGATATTACCTCCAGCCAAATAGTTTGAAAAGGGTGGTTTTAAAAGCCCTTGAAGAACTGCACCAGCAGCCAGGCTTTAATAAAAAGGCAGGAAGGGCTGTGTTAAAAAAAAAATAAAATTGATCTCCAGACCTAGATGCTTTGTTATTTTGTGAGGTTCAACTGAAATGTGACTGGAGTGGCTGGACCCAGCAGCAGTGAATGCTGTGTCCCCAGGACACACAAGTTCTGCTTTTCCTGTGTCATCTTTTTCAGTATTTATCAGAAGTCATATTCTTTTTCCTATAGGAAAAAACAAATGTATATACATTTAAAACCAAATTCTGTTTCTTGAATTCCAAGACCTACTGCTGCCCAGGAGCTGTTAAATAGTTAATAGGATTAATGCAAAACAAAATTTCTTCCCTTAATGAGAAATCTTGTCTTTAACTATCAGGAAAATGAGTACTACAAAATTGCTGGTTACCTTCCTCTCTACCAGAATCTGACTAATGTAAATAACATGTTTGCATCAAATGTTTCGCTTAGGACAGTACAGAAACTGCTGGCTCTACCTTAGAAAATTTGTGTAGGAAATTGAAATTCTCTAACTGACAAAACCCCTTTAATTAAAAAAAGAAACACCACTGCAGAAGAAGAGAGCTCTGCTCACAAAAAAATCAAACTTACGTTGCATGGGCCTTAATCAGTTGTTCTAGGTGAAGATGGGAGGATCTTAAACAATAAACTAGCAGTGCCATGAAGAACTCCGTAAAAATGCCAAGGACGTTCCTGACATTCATCAGCCTAACAGCTGATCACCATTTAGATGATAATTTCATTGAAATTTGATTTCAAATGCCCAGGCTTTCCTGCCTGACAGCACAGTCTGATGTTTGCCGTGGTGAGCTGATGGAGATGTAACACTGACGGGGCTCAGCACCATGGGCAACACCAGCCTCAAGCGGGCTCACCCTGGGAAAAGTGAATGGCCTACTTCTGCAGGATCAGCCCAAAACTGACCTCCACAGCCACAGTGTGTGGAGAAAAACACTGTCGCTTTGTTTAATCTCATGCTGCAGCCTGGCTCCAGCTTTAACCATCATCTCCCTAATCAAAACCCCCAGCTATTTCAATTTGCACGAAAAACACAGTTCAAAGCGGTTTTAGTCATGAGCTTGCCAGAACCGAAAGCACAGCGTGTGGAGGGTATATCCTCCAAAGCCACCCTGCCACCAATTCCTGCCAGCTCAGGCAGCTGCCCACAATGCCCTGTTGTTTCCAGCAACAGGGAAACAAAGGCTGTTGTTGTAGGCTAATTCCGGCTCAGTTGTGGCATGCGCCTAAGTGGGCTGTTGGAGTTGCTGGGGGGGGACGGGGATGGGGGGACCAGGGGACAAGGGAGGCGTATCAGCCCCCAGCGGATGTACAAGGAGGTTTCCAAGCTCCTGGATGCTGGAGGATTCTCTACAGCTCCTGTTGCTCCAGGGAGGTATGGCTTCC